TGTCCGAGTCAACGGGCTGGCGCGAGTTAGTAAACATATCATCACTTCTTCTCGACAGAAGACACCTTCTCAGACTCCCCTACACCAACCGAGTCATTCGGCGCGGGCATGACGTTGACCGTAGGGGCAACCCCCTCATTAGAATCCCACTGGCAATTCGCACTATCTACCGATATGCTGGCCAACAACTGGGACAAGGCATCCGCGTCGAGGTCTTCCATACCACTGCTGTCATCAACCGCCACAGGCGTACCCGCATTGGCGGATACATTGCTTCCCTCCATGTCCGAAGGAGGAGGCGTCGTCCCGTCTCGTTCTTGTTGTTGCTGCGAAAACACATTCGATGGCGGCGTCACCGTCACGAAGGGAGTTTCCGGAACTGCTTGAGCTGTGGCCACCTGCAGTAGATGGGCGAGAGCCACGTTACTCATTTCCACTTGTCTTCGAAGCTCCTCGTTTTTAGTCGCCAACGCATGAAGGGTAGATATCTTGAGGCTACTTCGAGAGCGCGACCCATCAATTGGAGAATGACCACTCCTCCGCCTAGGGTTCCCAAAGGGAGCACCCATAGTGTACCCTGTCGGTGGTGTGGGGAGTAGGGAGGGACTCGGGAGAATTCCAGGGCTAAGACCCTCAGTAGCACCATCACCAGTCTGCGCCATGAGGCCATGGACCGTCAACAAAGCCCGCTGCTCACCAAGCACTTTCTCATGCTGCATGTCAACCCGGGCAGTGTCCATATCAGAAGCCTCACCTGGCTGTCTTAGTTCCTCCAAAGAATGTGCATAGGTACACTCGGGGTCGTTACACTGGGGTTTGGTACACATCTTAGTCCTGGCCAAGTTGGGCTTTTTGAAGAGCTCACTGTCATAATGAGCAAAAGTACAGGAGGCACCGTAGTGACAACGACCCTTGAGGAAGTGCTTACAAACACGTGTTTTACGTAGTTGTTGGCGGATGGTCGATTCCCCTTCACCAGTAGGTGGGCCAGCGTACGGCGATGATAAGACAGAGGATGCGGAGGGCCAGTCGAAGGGATCCGATAGGGCAGCCCCAGGGGGCTGCGGCGACAAGATCTCCCACGAGCTTGTGTCGAACTCAGAAGGACCTCCATCTGGGCTAATCCAGCCGCGGCTGCAAAGCGATTTGTTGTTCTCTTCTTCATCATGATTGTACACAGATAAGAACTACAGACAATAGTTGTGAATAATGCTCGTCCTGT